GATTAGTTTAGAACTACTTTTTGTCCCCACTTGATAAATTAGTTTAAAACCATTTTTCGCCTCCATCTTTTTTTTTTATTTATAATTTTATTCTTAAATATTCAAATAATAAAAAAATATATTAAAAGTAACTCCTAATATTAAAAGTAACACCTCCTCCTCCTCCCCCCCTTCTCCTCTTCCTCCTCCCCCTCCTTATCCTCTTCCTTCTCCTTCTCCCTCTCCCCCTCCCCCTCCCCCTCCTGATTGTTAATTATAGAGACAATAATGTCCAATACAAAAATGGAAATCAAAATTGTTACCAAAACTATCTCCTTTATATTTTATAACTGGAGTTGAAACATTTCATATCTTTATTAAAAATAAAATTAAAATTAAGTGATAAAAGTATGTTGGTCCAACTAGTATTATAGTTGGTCCTTGAGCCTTAAGGTCTTGAGTTCAAATCTTGGGTTTGATGAAAATATTAAAATTTTAAATTATTTTTAAAAATAATAAAAGGATATAATGGTCTAACAAATGTGGAGATCAAGGTGGTTATTAAAAGGGTATGTGTGGAGATCAAGGTGGTTACTAGAGGTATCCCTTTTATATATTAATATAGATAATTGGTGTCTCTATTAAAAATAAATTGAAAATTAAAATTAAGTAATAAAAGTATATTGATCCAATTGATGTTATAATTGGTTTTTAAGCTTTAAGATCTCGAGTTCAAGTTTTCAATTTGATGAAAATATCATTTTTAAATTTTTTAATAATAGAATAATATAATGGTCTAAAAAATATGAAAATCAAAGTGATTAGAAAAAGAAATATTCTTTTATCTAAACAAATATAAATATAAATATAAATATATAAAGGAGGGATCAAATGACTCTAAAAGTAACTTTTACTTAAGTTACTCCAGTTAATAACTCATGTTGTATGTTAAATTTTAACGATCCAATCGTTGCATTAAAAGATCTTAATGTATAGATCAAATATACAAATTTTAAAAAAAATTGAAAATCACATGATACTAGATTCAAATCAATGTATAAAATATTTTTATGATAATTTGCCAATTTGAATTAATGAAATGAAATATTAAATAATTTTAAAAAATTTAAAAATTTGTATACTTAATTTATGCATTAAGAACTTTTAATTTAACGGTTTAATCATTGAAATTTATCGTACAACATAAATTATTGAGTAAAGAAGTAAATCATTTGATTTCTCCTCCATAATATAAATATATATATGAGGAGGGTTATAATAATATTGGTATAACTTTTACTAGGTATTATACCTGCTTAATAACCTTATATTAAATGTGAATTTTGCAAATCCAACCGTTAGATTGAAAGTTCCTTACTCTTAGATCATATATACAAAATTTTATATTAATCCAAGATGATTTGATATTCATTCTTATAAAATAAAAATTGATATAATATATACATTTTAAAATATACTAAAATGTAATTACTTTTAAGTTCTTATACAATTTTAACAAAATTTAGTATACATATATAAAATGATATGAACTTTCAATTTAACGGTTGAAATTACAAAATTCACATTTAATATAAAGTTATTAAACAGTGTAATACTTGATAAAAATTATACCGGTGTAATTATAACCTCTATATATATATATATATTATAATTCTTTATTATACTCTAATTAGCTTTTACAACTTGTAGGAGTTTTACAGCGGATTGGGTTTTTGAAGGTACAACTGTCTCTCTCTCTCCCTCTCGTGTATTTTCACTTCCATTTTAGATTTTCAATTCCGGTAGCTATTTGCTTCCCGAGAAAATGCGAGAAAAATGGAACATCACCTTTTGCATCTTTCATTTTAGACGGTGGCTGGGGTATACTTTCGTGCTTTCAATTTGACTATCAATTTTATTGCCACGATCTTCATTTTCGTAAGTCTACCTCCTTTTCCTGTTAAGACGACTCAATCAACAACTACATGCGCTGATTGGTGGTTAATAACATACTTTTTCTACAATAAGATGTTGCATGTGCTATTTGGTTATGAACTTCTCTACATTCATGCCTTTTGGTTATTTGTTCTGTGTCCCTTAAATGGAAATATCATTGTTTGATATGATTGAACGGCTTTAGTTGTTTATAGTTGTAATTGTGTTTCGCAGATTTGGAAAATTTTGTTAGGGATCAACGTTTTGAATTTTCATTTTATAGTTGCAACATAACATTATTTGATGTTATCTGGAATTTCAGATTCATGTCGTACAATGATACGGTCGCGTTATAAGTTCATGCAAAAGTGTATACCTAATGATCGATGGAAGGGATGAGATGGAATGGAATGGAATAAAATAAAATTTGGCTATTTGGTTATGAAATAGGGTAACGTCTTCATTTTATTAAGGAAGTTAATGAATAATAAGTTAAATTTCATCCCATTCCATCCTATATATTTTTGTGGGGAAGGGGTGGAGATTGGATGGGATGGAATGAAAACTTACTTCATTCCATTGCATGCTTTTCCACCAATCCAAACATAATGCATCTTCTTTTAATTATCATGACTGCAGCAGTAAAACCTTATTAATCACCGGTAGTTGTAGATGAAGACATGGTTGCATTCTTTCCCCAGTCTTTCCGTGAAATGATTTGCCGGCCTACTTTTTTCTTAAATTTTTTTTTTTTGAATCTTATCTGGTGGGGCAATACTTCTTGTCCTTTTTCTTATTGATAATGTATTTGATCAACTTTCTGTGGTTTTTGTTGATATACATTTTCCCTGCCTTCTATTTATGTAATTATCAATTTAGTATGTACCCGACAGAAAAACTATACTTGTGAGAAGATATGGATGAGTTATTTTTATTGGAATGCTTGATCATCTTGCGTATTCCATTTGCTGCTTCATCAAATACTCAGTTGACGTATATATTTATAACTGCTTTGGAATTCTTTAACTTGTTTTGAATGTTGTTTTTTCATTGATTTTGCTTGCTCCTTCCTTTGTTGTTCCTTTTTTATTTTTTTGTCATAATTTGTTTTGGGAGCTCTAGGACTTACCACATATAAACTTATTTTTTCCCAGTTGACCAAGCCACTTGAGAATAGCTTTGCATACTTTTGGTGTTCGAAGAGCTCTTCCATCAGCCAAAATGAAGTAATATTAGTAGTCTGGTTTATATTAATTTGCTTATTTGATTTGAGAAAACAAAATTATATTTGAAATATATCATAATATCATAATATCATAATTAGAAATATGTTTGATGAACTGACTAATCTTAATATTATGTGTCTCCCTTTGTTTTCACATAGCAGGGGACGTGTAAGATGGAATGAGGATAATATTGGCGAAATTGAAGCAAACAAACCCGTGAGGCAAAAAATCACTGAACCTAAGACTCCGTATCATCCTATGATTGATGACGACAGTATGTAAAGAAGATCAGTTAAACTGCATTTATCCTTGTAAACTTTCTTGCACGTATCAGAATAAGTACATTTGTATGGTTGTTGACTTGTGGCTTTCCATTAGAAATAATATTAGGAGGAAAAATAGAGATATTTTGTTACCGTCAATTTTACTGTTGCATTTAGTGAGTATCAAATTCTAAACCTTAGTTTGTCTCCCACTTGATTTAGTTTTTATATGATAAAAGCTACTTTAGTGGTTTAATGAAATTCTCTGTTGTGGAGTTTGATGAAGATCCTTGTTTGTAGATTTATTCTCAAGCTTACCCTTTAGCTCTATATCATAAGTCACTTTATTTGAAGCTACCTTTCATATGAGTAACCAAATCTTTCAGGTTCTCCGTCCCCTGTACGAGGAGATTTTGACGAATATATTGGTGATAAAAATCACTCAGCAAATGCTGAACAAAGTGCTTTTAATAATGCGGGGTGTTGTAGCAGAAAAGGAACTAGTCCTAGACAATCTAATGGTTGGACATCATCGGAGGATGAGGCAGAAGAAATTGAAGGAGATGAGGAAGGTAATATTAGTTCGTCATTTGGTGTTTTTAACAATGATCATTACCTTCATTTTTTATTGCAATCATTACTGCTTATATATTGCACTTGTTCATGACAATTTTGGTGTTGATGATCAATTTTTTATACCAACAATTTACATCTTCTGATAATATATCATATTATTACCTTACTTGGTAGAAATTATGTGTAAAATGGAAAGATAAGGTGGAAAGAAGTCGACCTATTTAAATTTTGAGATGATATTTAATCTGTTTTCAGTGTAAACAAGGGGAGTTAATTTAAATTTGTTTGTCTAAGACAGCTACAAGAAATGATTGTATAATGCAGTGAGTGTAGTAAATATTAAACAAGATGATTCTAAGTTTAGGACAGATCGCGCATCTTTGACCCGAGAACCCTGGGCAATTTTTACACATTTTCCATTTTTGGCATATCTAGAGTTTGGAGTAATTTAGTTATTAGCATCTTACAATTCACTGTTCGTTCGAATCTTCCGATTCAATACAATATGGTTTACCTATCAATTTGCATCACATGATAAATCTCAAATGATTTTGTATCTTTTAATACATAAATGAATATGTGCAATTTCTTATGATTAATATGGAGCATACTATTTAACAGTGCGTTATTTTTTATTACTTTTCTTTTAGTAATTCTCATGAAAAGAATTGAAAAGTTGCATCGGATTAAATTGTTAAATGAGAAGGAATTGAAGTAACATTTCCAAACTTGTCCTATTTGATTATTTAACTACTTTATTTGTCATCTACTCATTCAATGCATGTACCTATTTGGTTATTAATTTGCATTACACGATGAATCTCAAATGACTGTATCTTATGTCACATAAATGAATATGTGCAATTTCTTATTATTAATATGGATCGTACTATTTAACAATTCGTTATTTTTTTATTATTTTTTTGTTACTTTTCTTTCACCAATTCCCATGAAAAAAATTGAAAAGTTGCATCAGCTTAAATTGTTAAATGAAAAGGAATCGGAGTAACATTTCTAAACTTATTTGATTATTTCATAACTTTATTTGTCATCCACTCATTCACTGCATGTACTCTTTTTGGTTATTTCATTGCTTGGTTTCCATTTGTCTAAAATAAGACCTATGGTTAAGTTGTTTTTATCTGTTTCTAGTTAAAATCATTACATTAAACACTATATATTATTTATATCATATATTTAAGGTTATTTTTCATTGTCTTTTAATCTTACAATTGAATACAAATTATGATTCATGATTCAAAAATTAGATCGAAAATTCACTCTTTGAATCTCAGTTTGATAACCTTAAGTTTTTGTGTTGGTAGATTACTTATACTATTCTGACCTAGATTTTTTTTCCTTGGTTGGGAATATTATTTGATTCTTAAACAGATAAAAGTTTCAGTTTTAAAGAGCACAGGAAGGCCCACTATGATGAATATCTCAAAGTCAAAGAACTGCAACAGAAGTCTTCAATTCTAGAGGATAGTAGTGATGAAGATAACAATGCCGAGCTTCCCAAGGGGAAGAAGAAAAATGACTCATCTTCTCCAATGAGTGATACCGGCAGTGGTGAAGAAGACTAACACCGAGGAGAAATAATGTCTTTCATTCAATGCCTCCAACTAAATGCTTCTTATATGTTCAACAAATAAAACCCACTCTGTTTTCTTTAGCCTTTGTGTATGATCGGCAGGAAATAACAGAAGGATCCACTGTATTTATTGTGTCTTTTGTGTAAAATATCTTTTCTTTTTTTCCCCCTCAAAAAAAAAAATCTTTTCTTTTTTTCATTTGGTATGTTCATCTGAACTTGCATGAACATTCAAATTAGATCCTTGTAATATGTCAAATTAGATTTCCTTTTTGCCAGCAACAAACATTCTTGTGATATGATTATGAGTGTGATTTCTAAGATGTTGCACTCCAAAGGTGGCATTTTAGTAACTGTTTTTTTTGGTAAATAGAGATGATCATAAACTAAAAAAGCTAAACAATTACAATCTTAGATACTGCATCTCTAGCAACAGCCAAGAGATAATGTTTCAAGGGGAGGGGGTGGAGAATCCAATTCCAGATACGCAAAATTATAATTCGGACTCAACCGAGCAAGAAAATTAGTACATACATTACTCTCTTGTAAAGTATGTCTTTGCTCAACAGTCGAATTATAAGATAACAACTCATGAATAATCATAATAATAGAAGCATATATGATATATGTGTCTATTGTCACAATTCTGTTTCACCAACAATAAAGCACAAGACAAGTCTAAAAGATACAAAACATTGGAGTACTTGAGTCTCTTTGCCAAGCACAACCCAAAAAGCAATGCAATTAATTCAATTTTTGTGTTATCAGCATTTCCAATATGGCCGTAAAAGCCTCTAATCCAAATCTCAGAGGAATCCTGAATAAGGCCTCCAAAATCAGCTGGTCTTGGTTGTCTCAGATAGTCTGAAAGCTGCCATCAACATGCAGTGACACCTGATTACCCATAGCCTATGCATACAAACCCAAACCTCCTTTGTTCTCGAATTAGGCAAACTGTTGCCTCCCTCATAAGCCCGCGAGCTGGCTTCATGCAAGGAAACCACCTGTTGCACTAAGCTCCAAGGATTGCTCACCTTTTGGTTAAAAATATGCTCATTCCCAGCCTTCCACAACATCCAGCATGCAACTAGAGGGAGCGTTCCAAACTGGTCAAGGCTTGTTCGCAACCAAGTGATCCATTGAATGCTCAATGTCGGTGGTTTAATTGCCTTCAAATGCAACAATTTCCAAACCGTGGTTGCACACTCACATTGAAAGAGAACATGCACAACATCCTCACAACCATTGCCACACCTCTGGCACACTTCCTCAGCACTGACCCTGTCTCTTAAAGAGCATGTGTCTCGTTGGCATCGCTTGCTTGCAAAGCTGCCAAGAAAAAAACATAATAAATTGTTAGTCACCCTCCCTGCTCTGTTTAGCGCCCTCCCTTTCCAAGCTGCAAGTTTGGATTGCTCACCTTATCCACCACCTCATTAAATAAATTGTTAGTCACCCTACCATGCACCATGTTAGAGCCGAGGTACTTATCCAAATTATGCGTAAGCCTGAGTTGAGATATAGCAGTGTCTTGTTCTTTCTGTCAGTGTCTTGTACTTATGAACATTTACTTTTAAGTCCGGAAGCTGCACAAAATTTCTCCAAGATAGAAGCCCTTTTGAAGGCATTTCAGTAATTAAGGTTGTCTTATATTATTAAGTTTTATTGAGAGAAATTAAAACTCACATTTAAGATTTGATTATATTTTTAATAATATTACCTATTGTATAAAATACTAATAAAAATAAAAACCAGTGATCATCCTATTGCTTTGTAAAACAATTATTCTAGGAATTGATTGTGAACCAAAATGAAATGCTTGTTTTTACCGATAATTAAATTAAGCCCACTTGAACACCTTTTCAGCGGTATTTGCAACTTCAGAAGTAAGAACGATGGTCGAGTTTAGTGACTCCGTCAAAACTCAAAAATAAATAAATAAATAGACAAAACCCTAGTACTATACCAAATAAATACTTGGAGAGATGTTTCCATCGTTTGACTTATTTTTTTGTAAACGTCAATTTCTATAATAAAAGCTTACATCATAATAGTATAAATAATACAATGCAAATAAAAACAAAAGCTTTATTTATTAAATGCATAACTTGTCTTATTAGTAATATAAATATTAAAATTATCAAGCAGATACACAATGAATCGTTTGTTTTATTAATTAGTGATTAATGATTTTGAGTTTGAGTTAAAGATGGATAGTTAGTTGGGTTAAATATTTGAACATGGAGTTTTGAGTTCAAATTAAAGTTAAAGTGAGGTGAATCTGTCCAAATTTTGCTTGATAAAAAAATTTGAGCTAACCAAATTAGTTTTAGGATGGTGTGTATCCCAAATTTATCTGATTAGAAAAATCTGATACAATAAAATTGTGTTAATCCTACATATAAAATCATCATTTTTGGATCTTTTATCTCTAACTTGTTTATAACTTTAAAAATTGAAATCCAAACCATGGAAATGATTCTAAACAACTTAGATAGCACAAATCTAACATTAAATCCAACATACAACATAGATGCATCAAGAAATCATCAATTTTGGTTCTTAGGTTCATCAATCCCAAAGTCTCAACTTCACCATCCTCAAGAATAACAATTTAAGCCACCAATGGGCTAATCAACAACAAATGCAACATGCAATAACTTCAAAGAATAAAATAACAAGTTTTCCTTACCTCAATTGCTCCAAAATCAAGGAAAGGGAAGGAAAGGAAAGGAAAGAAGAACAACAAAAATCAAACATTTCAAAAACTATAACAACTTCATTATTTGATTCTCAACTCTTTAACTTCGAATCTCAACTCAGCTATCACAACACTATTTTAGGAGAAGAATTGAAACACTCCTATAAAGTCAAAAAGAAGAAAATAATTATTTTAACTCTAGAGTTTATTTTTATAGAACTCTAATAAATGAACTTATGAAGTTTAAGTTATCATAAATTCTTATATACCTCCCCCAAAACTTGATTAACTTTAACCTTGATACAAAACAACCTCAATTAACTAAACTTTTAAGAATTTCCTAATCCTTTGAGTTTTAAAATACCAAAACAACACATAAGCATAAATCAATTAAATATTAAAATTTAAAATGAACAAACAACTCTCAACACAATGTTACACAATTTAACTAACAAAAATATATAATTTTAATAATTTTGTGAATATTTATTTAACTAAAAATCATTTTAATAATATTTTGTGAATATTTATTTATGTTATTAACTATATCATTTAGGTATTCAGCTGACCAATACTTTTAGTTGAAATAAGCATTCACCGGGTTTTTTTTACATTTAATTATTCAAGTTTAGAAAGTTATAGAGTCAAAAGTAAAATGTTTAATCAAGTATATGTATACTAATATATTAGTTATTTATCAAATTTAGTCCCGCAAATATTTAATGTTCGAATTTTTAAGAGTTATAAATATTTATGGTAATTAAAGTGAAAGAAAATTATGTGAATTTTTCTATAAATTTTTTTTATGAAGAATCTTCAACTTTAGTATACCAAAAATAAGTATATAACTTTTTCTTAAAATTAAAAGATAAATTACATTCTTAAATATTATTGATATGAACTGACGATAGGTTTCTGTAGATGATGTTCTCCATATCTAAATTTTAACTAAACAAATTTAAGTATGTGAAGAAATTTAAAAACAAAAATAAAATTCAGTTGATAGAAAAAATAGATGTAAAAACACAAGTTAAACTCTGTCTTCGTTTATTTTCTTACTATACCAAAAAGTAAAAAGACAGAAAGTATTAAACATAATTATTACACATTAATATCTAACTGTATTTATGATAATAGTCATTTGTTAGGAGAGATTACACTTATATTAATGATCTCTCTATTTTAAAATATTAATTTAGCCTTCTACAAAATAAATAATGATTTTAATAAGAAATTATTGTTAGCATAATTTTTTTGAATATAAGTTAAAAAATAATCATTATAATTATGATGTAAATAAGTTATAATTAAGGTAGTGATAGATTTTGGTTAGCAGAAATGAATTTGTTTGGAGCGTGGGTAGTTGATGACGGGGATTCCTATCCGTCTAGACAAGATTAATTAGTATCCCCTCCATTTTTTATTCATAGTCGTTTAAGATTTTACACAAGAATTAAAAAAATATTAAAATTTTAGTTTTTAAAAATATTTATTACTTATTTTTTTTATTTTATTCTCTATTTTTTATAAATATTTTATTAGAAATATATTATCTTTTTAAATGTAATATTAACTTCATATAAGTAGTTAGAGAAAAAATAAGTAGACATTAAAAATAAATAAATACATTATTTAGTAAACATATATTAATTATCAAGGATAAAAAAGAAAAAATAATAATAAATTATTAATTTTAATAAAATGATAATAAAAAATAATAATAAATTCTGACGAAAATAAAAAACGGAGTAGTTAAAAAAAGTATGAAGATATTTTGGTTCTAAACTAGCTGGCCAGCTAATAAAGCCACCCTATCCCATTCGCCATGCTCATCACTTCTGTTTGCTACACCTCTTCTCTCTTGACTCTTGATCCCATGGAATTGGAAAAGGGATCCACCCTCCACCTCCAACAACCCCAAACGCCGTCGGTTTGGACCGACGAAAAGCACCTTCACTTCCTCAACACCATGGAAGCCTCCTTCGTCCGCACAATGCTCCACCACTACGGCCTCGTCTCCACCCAACCCCTCCGCCTCGACCGCTACCTCCCCGACACCTCAGAATCCACCTTAGATTCCAAACCCAACCGCACCCGCACCCGACCCAACCACCATGCACCTTCAGGTACGCAACCCTACCCTCTTCCGCAAGTGTGTTTGACCAAACAACACGCAAACAAAAGGAATTTCGTAATTCCTGGAAAATACGGAATATACCTCTTAGATATTTTTACTTTAAGTCTTTCATTTTTTTATTCCCCTTCCTTTCTTTCTTTTTTATATTCCTCATTATCTCATCACAACTCTAAAATATCTCTACCTCCACCTACATCACCTTTTATTTTCTCACCTTATTTAATTTAATTAATTATTTTTTGTTGTGACAGATTCAATGGGCCCTAGGACGCGAGTGGGGAGCAGAAGAAGGAGAAGGAGATCATCCGGGGAGCAGGTGAGTTTGTGGGTGAAGAATTGGAACAACTTTGCATTTCCATCTCTTTCTTCCCAAGCAAGTTTTCCTTTTCTTTCATCTCCCTTCTTGTTGGCCCCTTTAAGTTCCATTTAATTCACTACTTGGCACACCCATCATATTTAATACTATTTTCACGCTCCAACTTCAATGTGGGAGCGCTTTTCTCTTTTCACTCTCCATTTCCACAACAATACTATCACCCTTTCCGCCCAAAAATTAATACAATCCATCTTCAGACACCTCATCATTTCATTTCTTAAATTTTACAACTTAATCACATTTTTTGTAAAAAACAAAATTTCACATTTTATTATATATTTATCAACTTTGTACAACTGATCCTAGATTTTCAATGCACTGCATTCATGAGACATGTCATATTCACCATTCAAATAATACGTTACATCAATAATTCTAATTAATAATTAACATCTCACAATAATAGTTAATATAGTACATTAAATAATAAACAAAATAGCAAAAATATGTAAAATTTAAAGTTTAAACGACCAAACTTACAATTTTAAAAATTAAATAATAAAATTTTTAAAACAATCAAACTTATGTTAAATAGTGTTATTAAGCCTAAATTTAAAATATCAACTGAAAATGTAAATCATAAGATATTAATCGAAGAATTTAATTTTAGATTGTGATGAATATTAGGGACTTTATTATAAAAGTGAATAATTCTTTTATAAACAGTAATTATAGTTGAATCATAATGTAAAGATAGCGTGCATGATTTATTTTGTGTAGAATATGAGTATTAAGTTGAGATATATAAGGAGTAAGGGGTTTATATATGTTTCCGCAGGCCATGGTGGCAGAAATAGAAAATGGAAGAGAAAGTGGTGCTTGCCTTGTCGGAGGGGATGATAAACAACCCACAGCTAACATTTAGGGTGGTATACCTCTTCGGAGTCTGCCACCAAAGAAACATTCATCCACTCTCTTTTTACTTTTTTCTTTTCATTACCAATTATTCTTTCCCCTCTCTATCTCTCTCTTTGGTTTTTAATTTCTTCTACTAGTATTTCTTTTGTTTGTCCAAACGATTATCTTGTAATGCAGTGCTCATTCCTTTTCTTTTTATTTTTTTTGTGTTTCTAATATTTAAGTGGTATTATTTATTAGATGGTAGAAGCTTGCATGCGTGTGCAATAAGAGCAAGAATTTTAATAAAGTATTAGGAAAAAAGAGTCTACAAATTTTTAAAAAAATATTCAATCACAAATCATTAAAAAGTATGATCAATTTAAATTATAAATAGATATAATGTGATACAAATAAAATAAAAAAATATAAATAAATATAAGAGATGAATTAATGATAGATATAGGTATATTTTATGCAAGTTCTAGGTAAGATCCTACGAAGATTATACGACGGTGGCATGAACATAGCGAACAATAGAAAAAAAGTGGAGAAAATAACTTTTTGTGATATTTTCATATGATATGATATGATGTATACTAATTATTAATGTCAATGAATGTATAGTAGGAGTACACCATGGGACGCATAGGGTTTTCAATCTTTTCCGTGTGATAGTGGTAGTTGATGGGTTAATCCTTTCAAATCCAACCCATTCTTATGTACTCTTTATTTTCATTTGGAAATTCAATCTCGTCCACTCACACCAACTTTTGCTCCTTAGTGCATGACTTTTTATTCTAGTATGTACGTAAAATAATTTATATAATACATTATTTTCTTTATTTCATTATTTTTATACTTTAATTTTTCTTTTTTTTTTCCGTTATTAAATTTATTGTACAATTTGTTATATAGGTATAATTTTCTCTTTTTATTTTTAAAAAAATAAATAAATCATGTCAAATAATTAATATTACTTAAGTTGATAGTTTACATAATCGATTCAATTCATTAATCTTGTCTAACCAATTAAAATTTTGTAATTATATAAACAATTAACAATCAGATGTGTATAATTTTACATGAGTTTGTACAATTATACATTTATACAAACAAATTGTTATGTATTATAATTTATTTATATATAAATATGATGTTACAGTATGAGTATAATTAAGTTTAAGTTATTGCCTATATAAAACTGTTATCAGTAGAACATAAAGTATATATTTAAATACTAATTTAAAATTAGATTTAACAAAAAAATAATACGTATTTCAATAATAAAATAAATAAATTTTTTTTTTGTAAGTATAACTTTTTTTAACCCATAATTATAAACATTACTATTGAGTTTCATTCTATAAAAGTGGATGTGAGATGTGTTTCAACAACTTTGAGCATGTTCAAAATCACATCAATTTTTGTTAAATGTAAATCATAAAAATAATAATTAGTTATTTTTATTAACTTTTATATTATTATTTTTTTAAACGTAGATGTAACCACTTAAAACATCCATATCAAGTTATCAATAATTCTTAAATTCCATTTTTTCAACCCCAAGCGTGTGGTTCAGCGGTAGGGGTTGATCTACGCTTAAGTAAGGTCAGGGGTTCGAATCCTAAATAATACTCCATGTTAAACACTTGATGCTTATACAAGTATCAATGCTTAATTAACAAGTCAATGGGTCCAATAAAAATATTTTTAATGATAAATACTCTTTATATAAAATAGTCAAAATAAAATGTATTGAAATTAAAAAAAAAATTGTAGCAGTAAAATTTATTTAAATAAAATTAAAAAAATGACGGCTTGAAGACAATAGTTACTTAAATCATAAAAAAGAAAAATAAATTATGTATATAAGTGAGATCTTTTTAAGAATTTAAAAACTAATGCTGAACTATGGATGCTCTTAATTAGGCATAAAACAAAATCATAAATGATAAATTTTTGCATTAAAAAAATGATAGCATGTATAAAAAATATATGAATTATTATAAACCAGTTATTCAATTACATAAGAACGTAAAGTGTTATTTTTTTTATTTTTTATTTTAGACAGAACGTAAAGTTATTATAGAGAGCTTAGTAAGTAGGCACCGCAGCCATATGCTCCTTAATTCATATGCTCTATTTATATAGTTTTAATTGGACCATAAATGATTCCCTCCAATACTTTTAAACTTAAGTAATTTTTAAAATACTATATCTCATGATGAGAAAATATGTATAATTAAATTAAATAAATAATTAAGGTAAGTAGTCTAATTTTTTGAGAAAAAACATATTTAAAAATAAACTGATGCAATGTATTTGGGTGGGTGGGATCCAGTGTGATGGACATAATTCTTATCCAGTTCTACCAGACCCATCAAATTTCCCCATTAAATGTTTGAAATTGAAACCATGTGCAAGAATTATTGGATTGTACTTCTGCTGAAACTGTGTTTCTCAAAAATATATAATTCAAAACTATAATCCATATAAAAAAAACGAGGGAAACTCCACCAAAAACAAAATAATTCAATACTATAAATTGAAAACTTTACTTTAGAGGGTGAAAATTTTCATTTTCCCTCACTTTTAAATTAAATATTATTAATATTTTTTTCTTTTCTATTTGGAGGGTTTATATACTATTTTATTTATTATTTTCTTAAGTAAACAAATCTCTATAAATTTTTGTCTATGCACTCATTAAAAGTCCAACTCTTATACTCAAGTGACAAAATTATATACTAACCATGATACATCTAGTTAATATACTACTTTTATAATTTGTTAAAAAATATTTTCTCAACTATTTTAGATTTTAATTTTTTTTATCTACATCTATATGCCTAATTTGTGATGATTTTACTAACTCTAGAAATCTAATTACAAAAATTATAAATGATTAAAGATTTTGTTATAAAATTTTTCTTTATCTACATCTATATGCCTAATTTGTGATGATTTTATTAATTTTAGAAATCTAATTACAAAAATTATAAATGATTAAAGATTTTGTTATAAAAATTTTCATTCAGAAATTTAATTAAAAATTCATAAATGAAATAATATATTAGACCTATATATAATTCTCTTGCCAATGTCATGGGCTTTGAATTGTGCTTATTTAAAATTAGTGAGGAAGGCTCGCTATCTTTTTTTATGCCCAAATATAACACCTGACAAGTAGAACATTTAAAGGTTGGGTCTGTTTTAAATGTTTGTTTAAATTTGGTTCGTTTCTTTAATTAAGTCTGATTTAAAGTTTGTGTTATATATATATATATATATATATATATATTTAAATTGAACTTGACTTGTATAGCTTATATTTAACTTAATTATTTTTATTTTATAATTTTTTAAAATTATTTTTTAACTTAGTCAATATAACATTTGATAATTATTTTAATGCTAACATGGGATAGGTGGAATTAAAATATTTTTGACTATTACATTTTTATAATTTAGTAAATAAAAGAATCATAACTTAATTGATTATTAAAAAAAAACTTCAAAGTTAATTTAAGATTTTTTTAATAAATAATAATGTTTTTAAGATAAAATTGAATTTATTAAAATATCAAACTTAACACACATAATTTTAGGTTTGAATTTATTTTTAAACTAAATGAGTCTACTAAAACAAATTATTGAAAAGTCAAACTCAAATAATTCATGAATAGCTTGACTCATTAAGTGATATATGAATATCCTTTTTACTTTTTATTAGCGATGAACCATAAATATTTTTTAAATGTTAATATATATTTGTAATACTTAAAATCAAAACTCCTAAAATATAGTATTTATCATTTTTTTTAAATGGTAGTTACCATTTTCCTAAAATACAAGAAAATTTTTATTTGACACAAATCAAATATTATAAGATGGGTAATTAAATACACATTGTTTAGTAATATTGCACAACAATTGCACAACACAACACATCACAAAATAAAAACTCACAAGAGAAACATAATAGAATCACCCTTATAGAGTGTCCAAAAAACTTGACCGATTTTAATACTATAAAAATGTAACAATCAGTCATGATCTCCATACTTAACAGTTCAACCATTAATAGTGAATATCATACACAACTATCTAAGGTTAGCATACAAGCAATTTCTGGAAAGTACATGTAAAAACATAAATATATGTATAAGGATAAACCAATCAAAAGGTAAATGTTCCTCAATTGAACAACCATAAGTGTATCCAAAACAACTGTAATATAAATATAGGTTCCCAGTCAATCAAATCTATAAAACTATATAGAGGTAGCACCTGTGGGTAATGTTTGAACCCATCCTGACTTTGGTGAGGAATACTCAATTTGGTCGAATATAGGTATGAGTAATATTTGATTTATTGAATTGGTTACAAGGACAAGGATGAATATATACATACTTACCTTGTACCCGTACCCACTTTAAATTTTTAGAAACTTAATTTATTTTTTTAAAAAAATTACTTGACATTTTTGTTACTTTATATAATTGTTGCTTTATGTTGATATTTTTGTTATTTTTTTTTTAAATATAATTAATTTTTGGATGAGTATGAGACAAATACGAGTATAACTGATACCTAGCGGAGACAAGGATGGGACACAAATTTCATACCTACCAGGAATAGAGATAGGGATGCATATAGGATACGAGAACAAGAACAAAGACAGGGATAAGGATGAGGATATTGAAACTCATACTCTTCCTATCCTGTTGCCATCCCTACCTTATGCTTAATGTTGTTGAGACAGAAACTATCTATCTCATCCATATTTAACACCATTCAACTTGAACCTAATGTGGATGAGGTTAAAGAATTCCTGGGTCAATCACATATGGCGTGACTAAATCCATGTCTAACCTCATTTCAAGTAGAGAAAAATTCTCACTCCTCACACCCAACACCACCAATTATGCACTCAATGCAAGTAAGACAGAGGACTCAAGAAGGAGGAGGAAGAGGAAGAAGAAGCGGCGAAAGCTTTGAAGAAGAAGAAAAGGCGAAAGCTTTGCACCAACTCAAATTCTTAACTTTATCGACTCAGTTGATCAATAATGATCTTCTACACACTTGAAAAGACTAGAAACAAAGAAAGAATAATTCATAATCCTGAAATTTTTCACTCTAACTTTTTTCTAAAATTTCATGATAAATTAGTTTATGAAACTCAATTTAAAAAAAAAACCTTATATTTTTTCTTAATTTATAATCAAACTAGATTGTTATCTAAAAAAACACCTTAAATATCTAAAATTCATGAGAATTCTTCAGACTTCCATAATTTCTCAATAATAACACTTAAAATCACTACATCATATAATTATTAAAAAATGTAAAGTATTACAGCTGTCGTGATTCTCATATTACAATTTGTTGAAACTTTCCTTCGCTGTATTTTTTTCTTTTTCTCTTTACTAAAGCTTGATGGTACAAATTTGTTAGATGTTTGAAGGTTCTTTCTTTACATCCCTTTTTTTTTTTATTCAATTTTGAAATACACTTACACAATAGTTAATCTTATTAGATGATGATGTTGGATTTGAAAATGATATTATTTGAGGAATAAACATGCAAATCAGAAGATTTTACTCGTTTTTTAAGGTTTTTAAATGCTGTAATTTTAAGAATTTGTGTTATGTGTATGATTTGATGGAATAGGATCTTATTAAATAGTACTATTAAACTTTTCGACCTTATTATTTTAATATGAAATAGAAATATTGAGTTGTAATATCGTTCATAGTTGATTCTAAAATCCAGCGAGCAACAGCATTTTACATTAACAAGAGTGAGTTAGAGAAGAGGGAGAAGAAGAAAGAGCAACGACGATGCTGGAGTTGGTGTTGTTGTACAAGAACCCATTGCTACAGATATCACTAACCCTAATTATTGGTTTCACCTTCGCCCTCTTCAAAGTCCCTCTCCTCTTCCTCTACGGTCTCCAGACCTACATCCACCCTGATTCCCAGCCGCAATCCAACGGCGCCAGAGCCGCCATCCGCCGCCCCGGCGTCGACGGATACCAACCCTTGTCGGCCAAAACCGCTGCCGAACTCAAAAAGAGGAACAAGTCGAAGGACAAGTCCGATTTCGACGAAAACAATGCTCAGATCTTCAGAATCCGACTCAACCAGGATCACCTCCAGTCTCGTCTCTTCATCGATCAGTACTGCGTCGCTTTCACTCTCTCCTTCGCTGCCATTCTCTCCCTTTTGCTCCACAACTTTCTCCAACCGCAGAACAATCGGGGCTTCTTCGCCAACGGCGTTTTCCTTCCGTTTGCTTTGTCAATTTTGAGTCTTTACACGTGGGGGACGCTGCTGGCTAGGGTCACGTTCGAGAGATCCGCGTCCAGGAGGTTTGATAAGAATTTGAGTGTTGTTTTGGGGGTTTTGGGGCTTTTCTTAGGACTTTTGTTTGTTCCTGAGGGTGTTTCGTTGGTTTTGGAGTTTCGTTTTGGGGTTCCCTTTGATGGGTTTTGGAGGGTTTTCGTTGCTGCATTGATGGGTTGCCTTGCGGGGTTTTTGTTTATTCCTGCTTCTAGAAGTGCTCGTTGTTTTTGGATTGGGACTGATCAGATTCGTTGCAATTTGTCCATGATGACTTGTGGGTGGTTTACCCGTGCGATTCTTTATGCAAATCAGGCGTTTGTTATATTTGTGGCTTTGTTGTGGATTACCCCGTTAGCTGAGGTTTTTGTAAATAAGAGAGATGGTGTGGCAAAGAGTGCATTTGGCAATGCAGAGAAATTGGTGGGGAATGTGGGGTTCTTGGCTTCTGATTTTGATAGGTTTAGGCAGTGGTGCTTGTTGGGGTCTAGTTTGTTGCAGATTGTGGCTTTAAGGCCTAACATTCAGATGTATCTGAATGAAGCTCTCTTGTCTTGGTACCAAAGGCTTCATGCTAGCAAGGTTCCTGACTTGGATTATAGTAGGGCAAAGATGTTTCTGCATAATCATTACTTGTGCCTTGTGGTTTTGCAATTCCTTGCACCTCCTGTGCTTGTGCTTCTCTTCCTTGCCTTGTCTCAGGTTGATGGTGTTTCCTTTGGAAATAGGAGTTTTCCCTTGTTGAGTGGTTTACTGCCCAGCTTTGCTTTATTCAAGGAAGTTGCTTTGTTTTTGGCTTGGTGGGTAACATTTCTCTGGGCGCTGTTCTCTTCAGCTATCCTTTTGCTGCATCGCCATTGTGTTTTGTATGTTTCTTGAGCCTTTGCTTTCCCGAGTGCGGTTTTATTGGGTCTTTCAGTGAGCCTTTTATTGTAACTTGAATACTTTCATTTTCAGAGGAGTGTTGCTCTGTTGGACTTGTAACTGAAGTTTTGCAGGTTAGTTGACACTTAATCATTCTTTAGGAGACCTCAGATTTTCAAATATAACTGTGTTGTATGTTGCTGTTGAAGTTATTGGCAATAAGAAAATCATACACAAAAAACTGACCATAGAAAGGCCAAAATTATAGGAAATTAGACATTCCCTTCAAACTATCGTTCAGACTTATATACGTTGTAGCTTGTAAATTAGAGGTATATTTACAGCCGAAACATCTTTACATATCTTTCTATGTAATGGGAAAGTCTATCATTAGATAAGCCATCTGAGTACTTTTCCTTTAAGTGAACTTTGTGATGTTTGTTCATTTATCCTTTTGACCTTTTGTTGTCTGACTCTTTTTGTGGCTTTGCTGCATAGTTCCTTCACTTGCTTGAAACATTTATAAACTCGGTCTTTTAGTTGTTTTTTCCTGCTTAATGATAGCATTAGTATATCATTATTATATTTGCACCTTTTGATGCTTTCTTTCCCTCCATGATAACAGTGTATTAACGTGAAACAAGTACAAGCATTGTTTGCTAAAACAATTTCAAACTCCCTTTAGTATTTCAAGATCTATATTTACTGTTAGTTGTGCTTTTAATACGGTGTAATTGTGGTGCATTAAGTATAATTATGAGCATGTAAAGTAAAGTGTATCTGTGTATGTGACATAACATTTAGTTTTTGAATCGTGTTAATTAAATAAAGAAATAAATCACAGTTATGACTTGGGTGTAAATTTATTGGCCCATCATTCTCTGCCATGAGATTGTCGGGTTGTAAATGGAAACTAGAAATGTAAACATTTTGAGGTCTTTGCAATCTGCTGTCTCTTCATAAATGTTTTGTACTTTGACCAGAAATTCATCTTTGCTGGACATTGCCTTATCTTTTTCTCTTTCCCAATAAGAGCTTCGCTGTGGCTCTGTTTAGATAATCTTTTCATAAACACTTACAAAAAAGAGAGAAAAAAAAATTGAGTCTTTCGCGCAAGTTAATATCAACTTATCATTTCAACTTTTGGAGGTTAGAAAGGGAGACTTTTACAAAAGTTAAAGTTGTAAATTGATTTTAACTTACGGTAGAAACTCAGTTCATTTTACTTTTTATTGTCTTCTATAAATTTATTCGAACAGGACCTACTAATAACTTACTACGTCAGGAAACTAAAGCGTGAAGCTTGCTGTGAATGAAAGTGAAATGATGAGTGACAATCGGAATTCTGGTAATAAAATATTAAAACTCCTGTTGTGAATTGTCTTAGTGTTTCAAGAAATAAAAGGATACTAAATGACTTTGTTGCTGCATACTAATTAGTTCATCATCTGCTCCTGCTCTTGGTTTTACATACTTTTATGGGAGTGTACATGTAATATGTACAAATGACTCTCTGCTATTGGCTTGTGTATAGAATACCGATGAAATGTTAAAATTAACAAGGTATTTAAATTTATGGTTGAGAGGCTGTCTTCACTTGTTATTGTATTGGAATTGGAGTGTATACAAAATGGGGTGCGAGATGGAACATATTGGGTGAGAACATGAGAAATAAGAATAACTACTTAACTAGTCTTTACGATTCATCTATTGTTGATTGGTAAAAAATTTAGCTGATCTTATTTCTTATTTTCTCACTTGATACACAACCATTAGTCCATGATTTTGTTTTCCTGTAGCCGTTTTAGCTTCATTATGCCTAAGCCAATTTCTATGTTCAAGAGTAGGAAGCACCTTTATGTTGAGACTGGAACTTTTGCTATGGCAATGGGTTTTAATAATTACTTTGCCAGCTTCACCGATGAAAGAGTGGGATTTGTTAGAGAAAATTCCTTATTCAGTAATACGTTTCTATTTGACTGGAGGTGTCTGTCTCAACTTTTTTTAAATTGGCATTCACATTTCTATCATTCTTTCAAATCTAGATCAGGAGAGCTCGCTGTATTCATGGAATTTGATACCTGCAGTATGAACTCTGAACATCAAAGGTTATTATGAAACTCAGATTCTTATTGATTTTCTGTAGGCATCTATTGTGAATAAAATAATCATTTTTGGCCAGTGATCATGTTTTTAGTGAACACAAGGTTTAAAAACTGTGTTTGGATGAGCATTTGCATATTTAATCTTGGATAATCCAAGAGTCCAAGACTAAGCTTAAAAGCTGTGTTTGTATATTAGTGTAGTGATTTGTGATCAAAACTTTTGTACCAGAAGAAAGTATTTATTGAAATGTAGTATGAAATTATTGATGAAAAAAAATTGTTTGATTTTATTTTTACTTCCAATAAAATATGTTTTTAAGAGAAAAGTTTATTTTAATGGGAAACAATCAAGCCTGATTTCTGTACACAAGATCACGTAATTGGTATCTTAAGCTGAACGTGTTTTTTAATGGGAAAAATGTTCTTATTTTCTGTTGAGTATGTATAAGAGAATTGGAAATTCAATATACAAATAGAAAATAACAAGAATAAAGAATTTTTCTGTTCCTGTATAAAAAATGTTAGGGTGAACAGTTAATATTATATAATATTTTTGTATTATAAATTAGAATATATAAGTTAGAGAATTTATTTTTCTCAACTTCATTAACCATTCCCAATGTTTTTTTCTTTCTTTCTTTCGAATGAGTATTATACACAAAACCTTGGTAACCTCTTATTGATGACGAAAACAATAATATAAAATGAATTAAAATTTTCTCGTTAGTTAAAGTCAATTGTACATTTAATTGAAATTATTTCATTTAACTTTCGCAAAAAGTTGAGGTGTATTCATCTACCACTACTTTCAAATCCATCCCACACGTTTAACAAATATGTTCGGCCTTAAATATAAAATATACTAATGTAAAATATTTATTTTCCTTTATAAAAAAAAATGGTTTTTTTTTAATAAATTATCTAATTCCATGGATAATGTAACATTCCTCGTAATATAATATAATATTCAACGCTGATACGACAACTATCTTGGATTGTAATATTCAAAATGACTTTTCTAAAGTAATTATCTATTCCGCTGGAATAAAAGAAAACGTCTATACTTGTAAGTATGACATTTTCTAAAAGAAAAATTGGGAAATATTGAAACTTGAAAGAATAGATAGTTCATGCACCTATAGGAAAAAAAAGTTTTTTTAACACTAATTCAATTTAAAACTTTTTTATATGATAAATTTATTATTTGTTATAATGTTTACTTTAAATATCATGAAAAAAAGTTTATTGATTGAATGTTCACTTATGTTTTAACTATTATTTTTTTTCTATCCAGATGATACAAACTTGAGACCTTACTTGAAGGAATTGAGTCAAGTTTCACTCATCAAACAACTTGTTAGTATAACCTTAGTTATCCTTTACTAACTTAGTATCTCAAATTAAATAATTATCAATTTAAATATTCAAAGTTGTAAAAAACCAAATAATACATATGTAAAAAATTAAATATGTTTTTAGTTTTTAAACTTTTGTCAATTTTTACTTTTAATTTGCAAACAAAATTTATTTGATTTTAGTCTCTAATATTTTTCTCCACCAACCATTGCCTTAACATTGGGAACAAAACATGTTAACGAAATACAAAATTCAAGGACTAAAAGTAAAACTCAACAAAAATTTAGGCACTTAGACTAGTAAAAAAATGTTCAAGACTAAAAGTGAAAATCGACAAATGTTCAAAGATTAAAAACATATTTAATTCATTTGCGAACCAAGCCTTTTAACCTAATAGTTCTATGATATAAGAGGGTTGATCTGGTGTTCTTATGTTCAATTATTGTTTGTGTTAAAATAATATGTGGTCAATAGAAACTAAGTTTCACGAGCATAGATAAGTCATAAATTATCAATTTTAGAATATTGCGTAAACTAAGTTTATGAACAAAAAAAATCCATATGCATAAATTATATTTAACTATAAAAATTGTTTCTTATAACATGTCATTTTCTTTGTGTCACCATGCACTACCTATGAGGTGGTTCGCCTTAGTCTCAACCTTCCAACAAACTCATTATTTGTTACCTTTTAGACTCAATACCAAATAAACCAAAACACATAAAAAGGAAGGGGTTGAACTTGGTGTTTTTTGAGAAATTTTTTGCAAATAGGTTTTCTTAATGTTTTAACATAGAAAGAGAAAGATTGTTCAAGATATAAAATATAAAGGATAAAAAAAAGAAAAAACACAAACATTTATTTTATAAGTTAGAGCTATATTAAGTCCCTTCAATGTGAAAGATTTTCACTAATTACAACAACTTATACCAAATGTTCTTTAAATTTTTTTAGACATTAGAACAAATAATCTTAATATATTCAAGATTACCAAAAAAAATCTAAGTATCCTTTACCACTAAGTCTCTTTTGACTTTCATAAAAATTCATATATGAAGAATAACTCACAAAGTAAAAGTAAAAAAGTTAAATAGAAATACACGACTTCTTAAAAAATGTTATAAAGTATGTTTGAAAATACATTTTAAATGAAATTATCATAATTTTTGCAAAAAAAAATAGTCAAAAAAACTAATTTGTATGTTGACTTGTTCATATCTCTATCTTCTTTGTCAAGTGAAATTCTCCTTTAATAGATGAATGAAGATAACTATCAAAGAAGATTTTCTTCTAGTATAAGAGTACATTAAATACAAGAGTATAATTACTTCCAAATTACAAAGTTTGACAATAATATTTAATCACCAAAAGTCATATTTTACGAACACAAATTATTGTTTGCTTATCAACTTAAAAATATTATATATATTATTTTTATGAATAACAAAAATAGACAAAAATTTATCTTCCTCATACGTGAAGAAAGAAGAGTAGGCACAAGTGTGTTACACTTAGACAAATATTTTGACCAATACATTAAAAGTCACATAAAAATGGATATATTATTATAATTTTTTTATATTTAAATTATCCAAATTGTATAGAAAAAGATTCATGGGGAATTTATAAATTTTCACAAGCTGCGTTCAATTTTTTTTTTAAATCTATTGAATAATTTTTTGCAGATTTTAACATTTTATTAATTCAAATTAACTAAATAATGAGAAAATAAATATTTTTATTTTTTCAATTGAACTTCTCAATCCAATTATGGGTATTGCGATTGGAATTTGCTTCATTTGAATTTGAAGAAAAAAATAGTTAAAAACTTACTTTGACTATTGGGACATTTTGAAGATTAAAACAAAATAAATTGACATTTGACAGTGCCTTTTGATGTAGTTACTTTAGTTTTGAGTTTTGACTTTTTGAGTGGTGTAACGTAAGATGGGAGCGGCTGTCTTTAAGAACAAATAAATGCTCCCAAATCAAATTGACCGTCTTATTTTTTTTATATTAATATAAAATATCTATTAACAAAAGTAATAATAAATTTCTGACTAAAATAATATTTTAGTCCCTTATAATAATTGTTTATTTTAATTTAGTTTTTTATTTTTATTTTTTGTCTCAATTTGGTTCCTAATAAATTAATTGGTTGCAATGTTGGACTTCTGTCCAAATTATTTAGACGGAATTAACTGTTAGTCACGTGGAAACTACGTAGATGCCACGTGGAAGCTACATCTGTAACACTATGGAAATATTACCCCGAGGCCGATTCATTTTAACTTAGCATCCAAATGAAGTCCCATTATTAATTATGGCCGATTAAGCCGACCTCTCGAAAAGGTTTCATTTCCACCGAGTTGAAAGAGGGAAAACCCTCGGTTAAGCCGAGCCGACCACTTCGACGTTCCACCGAGCCCGACAGGTTTCCCTGCCGAGTACCCTCCTCGGCTAAGGATGCACCTGGGCCAAACGTTACTCACGCACCAACGCCGAGCATCCCTCGGCCGACCACTTCGACGTTCCACCGAGCCCGACAGGTTTCCCTGCCGAGTACCCTCCTCGGCTAAGGATGCACCTGGGCCAAACGTTACTCACGCACCAACGCCGAGCATCCCTCGGCCGACCACTTCGACGTTCCACCGAGCCCGACAGGTTTCCCTGCCGAGTACCCTCCTCGGCTAAGGATGCACCTGGGCCAAACGTTACTCACGCACCAACGCCGAGCATCCCTCGGCCGACCACTTCGACGTTCTACCGAGCCCGACAGGTTTTCCTGCCGAGTACCCCCTCGGTTAAGAACGCATCTAGGCCGAGTAGCATACCACCAGTATTCAAACCCAACATAACGCCCCGACTCCCAATGGGTCGGGCCCATCACGATTTGGCCGAGCTACCTCCTACTCGCGTAAGTAGAACAAGAACCCGCTACGCACCATACATGGCGGTGGCATCACTTATGGCCGACCTAACCGACCTCTCACAAAGAAAACCCTCGGTTAACCCCGAGGCCGATTCATTTTAACTTAGCATCCAAATGAAGTCCCATTATTAATTATGGCCGATTAAGCCGACCTCTCGAAAAGGTTTCATTTCCACCGAGTTGAAAAAGGGAAAACCCTCGGTTAAGCCGAGGCTCATTTTAACTTAGCATTCAAATGCAGTCTCATTATTAATAATGGCAGATTGAGTCGGTCGCTCGCACAGGTTTCATTTCTATCGCGTTGTGAAAAAACCCTCGGTTGAGGCGCGTTCGGTTCATCTTAACTTGAAATAAATTTCTATTAATCAGTGCCGATCAAAATGGCTACTTACAAAAAATTAAATCAGCCTACACCCCCGACACCTAAGGCCGAGCTAACAAAAGGCGCTACCGGCCAAATTACAAGTAATCCCTAAACCTAGCAGGCTATACAAGCCGATCCTATTCAACCGCCGGCTCCACCGGGGTCCCGTCTCCGACGACATCAATTATTTGGTCATCTTCCCCAGTTGATTGCACCGGCTCCAAAGCCGTTTGAAAGATGCTGAGGCGACGGTGAAAGATGCCTTGAGTGCTAATGCCAAGGCCACTGAATCGGCTGAGGAATTGAAGAAAGCCGCCGATGCGTAGCGCAGGGAGGCCGATGACTTGAAGTTGACCGTGCAAAAGATGAAGGACGACGCCGCCGCTGCTGCAAACGAGATCGCCCGGCTTAAGGAGTCGGCTGCGCAGTTCGAGGCCGAGGCCACCGAGCAAATTCTCTCCCAACGTGACGCCGGCTTCCATCATGCTGTTCGGCAGGCTTATCACTTTTGCGACGTCCCGGCTGACTTTCAGTTTGATGTTAGTCGGGACTTCTTGGGTGGCAAGTTTATGAGCTACGCCGAGTTCCCCCAAGGGG